TCCTCGGTGACACCCCCAGACGCCGGTGGGAGCGGGGGGCTTATTGTTTCCGTGTGTTTCCCTGGGGAAACCCCATTTCCGACCCACGGGGTATTGCTGGGGCGGAGGGCGCACCCCGGCGGGGGGTGTGAGGACCCCGGGGCCCTGGAGTCCCAGGTGCCGAACCGTCTGGGGTCCTGGGAGCACCTGTGACCGCTCGGCCAGGCGGCCGCTGTGTGGTGTCCCCAGGCTTTTGTCTGCGTGCGGGGTTCCTGTCCCCAGGCCGAGCGCTCACCCCACAGCCAGGGCTGGCTCCCCACCTGGACTATCAGCTCCTTCCTGGGGGCACAGAGTATATGGGTCCATCTCCGGCTACAAACCCAGCTTAACCGGGGGTGGAGGGGCTTAAAACCCGGTCCACCGGAGCCCGTCTGTCCTCGGAGGGAGCCTGGAAGCCGGTGGAGCGAACCCATATGGGTGTAGACACCCCTCCCCCATGTGAGTGTGGATCCAGTGGGTCCCCGATTTCCTTTGAACCCTGGAGTTTAGGCCGAAACACCAGGGTCCAAAGGGTGTGGTCCACCGGGCCCGTGCCTCAGTTTCCCCACTTGTAAAATGAGATAACAACAGTGGCCTCAGAGTGGCTGGGGGTCAGTGACCCTGTGCCCCCTGAGGTGCCCAGCACAGGAGTGTCCATTCTTTAATTATCTTAAACATCTTATTATTGTAATTTTATTATTATTTTTAAAGGATTTTATTGTCTTATTATATTTGTTATTACTTTATTGTTATTTATTATTAGCTTATGTTATCTCATCTGGGCATTTACCTGAGGCCATACTGATCTCTACATATATCGGTATTTACCGGGATGAGAGATAATACCTCTTTTAAGAGGCCTTAACCTGGGTATTTACCTGCCAGGTGTGTTACCCTGACCTGCGCAGAGTGCCCCTCACCTCTGTGTTTTGGGGGGTGAGGCCACTGCTGGGTGGCCCCACCCAGTCTGAGTCATCTCTACCCTGAGCCCTCTTGGTTTCCTGCTAGGGAAGTAGGTTCCTCTCTTGCCCATCCCTGAGGGGGGTGGGGGGGGGACAGGTCAGAGGAGGTGATTTTTGCTCAGGGCAACAGTGTCAAAATTCCCCATTTCAGGGAGCAGAATTGGGGGCAATAGGATCTGGTCCTCCCAAACCCAACCTGACTTAGCAGCTGTTCACCATCGGGCCTGCCCACTGGGCACACATTTCCTGAGGACTGCTGGTCCAGGAAGCCTCGCGTGCCCGCTCTGGATCCTCAGTCTTCCCATCTGTAGAGTGGTCTTTTGGGTGGCACAGAGAGCAGATGAACGCTATTGAGCACCTGCTGTGGGCCTGGTGTTGGGGACACAGCAGAGACCAAAACGACCTCGTCCTGTGTCCTCTTTGCACAGGTCTAGCAAGGAAGGTGAGGATTAAGGAATAAACACATACATGGGCCGGCTGATCTTGGATGCCAACTGGTGAAGCATGCAAGCAGGGCTGATTGGGCTAGGGGGGGCTGAGGCGGCTTCTGGGGAGGTGACATTTGAGCAGAGGCCAGAAAGAGCTAGGAAAGGGTGCTTCAGGCATAGGGCTCAGCACATGCAGAGATCCTGAGGTGGGTTGTTTCTGGCTAGTTTGAGGTACATGGAGCAGAGGAAGCCCCCAGAGGAGAGATGGGGTTGGGCATTGATGTTTTGCCAGGTAGAGATAATTTTCTATAGAGTTTACACTGATAGTCAACACCCCTCCCCCCAGCCTTTATAACAAATAAGAATTACTGGGAAACTGTGCCCTGCCCCCTTTATGCCTTGTCCTCTCTGTGTCTTGAGTGGGGGGACCCAGGCCCCCCATAGCCACATGTTTCTTATCTCCTGCTGGAATCTGGTTGAAGTTAGCAAGCTTGAATTGATGGTGGACTGCTGGAATCTGGTTGAAGTTAGCAAGCTTGAATTGATGTGATGTGATGGGGAGCTCACCCCTCAGCCACACCAATGTGATGGGGAGCTCACCCCTCAGCACATTTTACAGTGCTCAGCTCAGCACTTGAGGCCCATAAGAGGGTAGTAATCCCCCCGAATTCCTGGGGACAAGACAGACAGGGTCTCCAACACCAGGCCAAGGAAGAGCTGGGCCTTTCTCTGACAGTGCTAGGGAGCCACGGGTGGTGGTGGAACAGGGGAGGGGCCTGTTGGGTCTTAGCTAGGTGGGCTTTCGTCTGAGGAACCCACCACAGATCTCTGTGAACCCATAAGTGAAGCAGGAGGCTTCCTTTTGTTGTATGTGGGGGTTCTCTTCAGACTCAGGTTCAAATCTTAGCTCTGTTCCTCCCCTGGAGGTGCCAGGAAGCCCTTTTTCTCAAAGAGCCCATGCCATAAGGGCTGGAGCTCTCCCACTGAGTCCTGCCCTGCTCTGATGTCTGATAGCTCCCCCCAGGATGTGGCTTCTGTTATCTGCCCAGCCAGGCTACCATCCTGGACTCTGTCCAGCTCCTGGAGTGGAGACCGAGGCCCTGGAGCCCCAGGGAGGCCATGGGTGAATCTGGAGGTTGGGGTGGGTGTGCTTCAGCCTCGGGAGTCAACTCTCAGGTCGGATCCTGTGCTGACTTGATATGTGAATGCTCACCCCAGCGATGTTGCTATGATCATTGGTGTGGCTGAGGGGTGAGCTCCCCATCACAGGAGGAAACCAAGCAGATGAGGGTTGGGATGCCAGGGGAGGGTGCCTGTCCCAGCTTCTCTTGGCTTTGAATGTCCTCTCCCAGACTCACAGGCACCCACAGGTATTTTCTGGGACATCTGATGCAGCAGTGTGTGTGTGTGTGTGTGTGTGTGTGTGTGTGTGTGTGAGCACCTACTGTGTGCCAGGTATAGCTGTGAGTGCCCTAGGAGAGGTTATGATCTATCGGGAGAGGTGAGGAGTCATCAGTGGAGAGTAGAATGTACGGTGATCCAAAAACCAAAGCAATAAGGTATTAAACGGAAGAGATTGCAGTCTCACTGAGGAAGTTTCAACAGAAGCCAAAAGGAAGTGAGCCAGTGAGCCATTCGGAGTCTAGGGGACTTAGTGTACCAGGCAGAGGGCACAGCCAGCACAAAGGCCCAGAGGTGGGACTGTGCCTGGCTTTTTGGAGGAGCAACAGGAGATGACAGGAGCGAATGAGGGAAGGTACATGGGGAGGGGGATCCTGGCACCCCAGACATTCAAGGACCAGAACCCACTATTGCCCCGCACCGCACCGTGAGGGTTTCTGAGCCCAGCAGGGACCATCCACACTCTATGTGAGTCCATGGGGACCATCCTGTGGTTTGGTGTTGTCAGGGACTGACCAGAAAGCCCCAGCACCTTCTTGCCTTGAGGTTTCTATCCGAGAGCCCCCTGCTGCTCCTATGCACCTGGCCTTCTGGTCCCCAGCAGGAGGCTTGGTGGCCCTGCTAATCCATCTCCATAGTTAATGCCATTTGCTCTGAGGAGGGCAGATTAGCTGGAGGGGGGCACTCCAGCCTCCTCCCTGGTCCTGGTCCCTGGGCACATTGGGGAAGCTGGGCTCAGGCGAATCAAATCTTTGAGAAACTCCCAGAGGATGGTGGTGCTCAAATCCGTATACTCTGGGCCTCATCAGCTTGCAGCTAAAATCTGGAAACCTGGGGGGAGAGGGGAGCAGCTTTTCTCAGCCACCCACCTGATGTGTGAATTCAGGCAAGGGTCTTCTCTGAGCTTCCGTTTACTAATCTGTCATCACAATTATGCCTGCATTTCGGGTGATGTGACGATGAAACAAAATTAAATGTTAAGGGTCCAGGGCTGCATACACGGCAGGGGGTGAGCTGCCGTTGCTGAGGGAAACCAAGCAGGTGAGGACTATGGTAGAACGGCAGTGGTAGGGTTCTGCCTGGGCGTCCTGGCCTGTCTTGGCCCTGAGGACTGCTCCCCGCCCTAAACCCTGGCCCACAGGCACCTCTCGGGATGCCTGCCCGCTCTAGCTGGCTCCCAAGTGAAGAGGTTCTCGGCCTCCAAGCGGAAGCAGCACTTCATCAACCAGGCCGTGCGGAACTCAGACCTTGTGCCCAAGGCCAAAGGGCGGAAGAGCCTCCAGCGCCTAGAGAACAGTGAGCAGGGGTCAGGGGTCCCTCCTGGGGGTTCCGAGGTCTCCGATGAGAATGGTATGCATGTTGGAATTATCTGCTGCCCTTACCATGGGCCTGACCCTGAGCTGGGCGATCCTGGGGCTGGGCCAGAGGGAACTTGAGGCATTGGAGCCGGGGCTTTAAAGGGTGTGTAGGAGTTCAACTAGGCAGGGAGAGGTAGGAGGACTTCTGGAGGCTGGATGGTTTCTGTACCTTCTGGGAGAGACAGTTGGAGTGTGGAGGTGGGGAGGCTGGTACAATCCAGAGAATAAAAGCTATAAATATAGAGAAGTTAGAGTGTCAGCCCACGTACTGAAGGGTCTCGGGTTTGATTCCCGGTTAAGGGCACATATCTGGGTTGCAGGTTCAATTCCTGACCCCAGTCAGGGTGTGTGTGGGAAGCAACCAATAGATGTGTCTCTCTCACATCGACGTTTCTCTCTCTCTCTCCCCCTCCCTCCCTCCCATTCTCTAAAAATCAATGGAAAAAATATCCCCATGAGAATTAACAAAAAATATAAATAGAGAGAGAGGGAGGAAGCCTGGAGGGCCCCAAACGCCACACCCCAGCTCAGAGACCATCTGTTTCCATCTAGCCCAATACCTCCTGACCCTGCTGAAGACAGACGGGGACACACTTGGTCCGGAGGATGGGGACCTGGCACCCCCCGCAGCACCTGGCATCTTTGCGGAGGCCTGCAGCAATGAGACCTATGTAGAGGTGGGGCTCCCTACGCTCTCGCTCACTCCCTCTGCTCCAGCCACACTGTTTCTGTTCTGGCTCCTACCGCCAGGCATTGCCTGTGCTAGTGCCTCCACCAGGAGTCCCCACCTACCTCTGGTCCCTTGATGAATGCCTCTTCAATCTTCCTCTGGGTTCCCCAGACCAGGCTGGAACGCCCCCCACCTCACCCCAGAACCTCCCAGCACCCATGACTCATCTGCTCATCCCTATAGATACCCCTCCGCAGACAAGCAGGTCTTCAGGCGTCCCATGAACTAAACTCCTGGCGGGTCCCGTGGGCAAAGGTGTCCACAAGGAGTATTTCCATACACTTGGTGGCCCGCTGTGTGCATTGGCCAGATGGGGAAGCTGATGCCCAGAGATGCCCCATCATTAGCCCAGCGCCTGCCTGCCTCTGTTCCAGGTCTGGAATGACTTCATGAACCGCTCCGGGGAGGAGCAGGAGCGGGTCCTCCAATACCTGGAGGATGAGGCCAAGAGCAAGGCCCGGAGAAGGGGACCTAGCCGGGGGGTGGACCGGAGGAAAGGTGCGGCCTGCGTTGGGGGTGAGGGGGACCCAGACTTGTGGATAGGGGCCTGGCCTAGTGTGTGGGGCGGGACTAGGACAGGTGGGGAGGAGCCCGGTGGGGCAGGCAGGCAGTTTGCTTCAGCGGCTGCCCAAAGCCTTGGACTCTTGCAGAGGACCCAGCCTACACCCCACGAGAGTGCTTCCAGCGCATCAGCCGGCGTCTGCGAGCCGTTCTCAAGAGGAGCCGCATCCCCATGGTGAGTATCAGGCTGGGCCCGTCTTTCCCCACCTGCCTGTCTTAACTTTTCAGTTGGGGGTGGCATGAGGGCACCAGTTACAGAGTGCACGTGCTGCAGTGGAAACAGGGTGGGATACACACCAGTGTGATCAGAATGCAGGGCCCAGGGCTGGTCAAGGGTGGGAGGGTCATGGGCAATGAAGGTGGGCACTGCAGGATGTGTAGGAGTTCACCAGGCAGAAGGTGTAGGCATTCAAAGATAGGAAGATTTCTAAGTGCCTGGAATTCTTGGAACTCGTTACGTAGCCTCATGTTGCCGGTCAGAGGCCACATTTGAACCCAAGGCTTTGAGCACTGGAGACTGTCCTGGGCATGGGGGTGCCTGGCCAGCCTGGCCCAGATCTCAGTGTCAGCCTGACCCTGGGCCTATATCTCCTGCAGGAAACGCTGGAGACCTGGGAGGAGCGGCTGCTGAGGTTTTTCTCAGTGTCTCCCCAGGCCGTGTACACGGCCATGCTGGACAACAGGTGACTGGTGGGGGCAGGTGCAGCAAGCTCCCTCCATGTGTGCCATGACTCCAGCCATGGCCATTCACCGCCCATTCCTCCACAGCTTCGAGAGGCTCCTGCTCCATGCTGTCTGCCAGTACATGGACCTCATCTCAGCCAGTAAGTGCCCGGCAGCTCTGGGACCCTCCCAGTGAGCCAGTTCTGCCCATTCTGCCCACAGAAACCAGGCTACACGGGATCTGTTTACTCAGTGGGAGGCCTCTGGGGTGCGGGGGGGACGACAGCCTGAACAAAGCAGTGGTAGTGGAACTCTGCATTAATTCATCAGAGCACCTGTGGTCCTGGCCTCACACAGGGCGATGCTGTGGACACAGACCCCACCTCCATCCACATCTTCAGAGCCAGAGGGAGAGAGGGGCCTATGTGAGGGTGATGAAGCTGAGCTTCGAGGGGACCCCAGTGTCTGCAGGGTCCTCATTTAGCCATATTCCCCTCTGCTGTGCCACACATGACTTCTGGCAAGTGCCCCTTCTTGGGGCCTGTGTCCCCAGTTATAAAGGGGGTGGGGGTGGTCTTGGGACACAGCTCTCTAGGGATGGTGCTTGTAGGCCTTTGCTGTCTGTCTCGCTGTTTCCTGCCCAGAGTCACTTAGGAGACAGTTCCCATGGCAACCCCAAGATGGTTCATCCACATGCTTGTCTTTGTTTTCATAGATCAGGATGGATGGGGGGCTTGGCTGGGGGGTGCTTCTCTGCTGGAGTCCAGCTGTTGCCTGAACACAGCGGAGGAGGGGCCCTGGCAAGATGGGGAGCAGGAGAGAGGCAGAAGTCTCCAGGTGGGACTGAGCTTCAGAGTCACCCCTAGGGTAGGGATGGAAGCAGGCGAACTGGGAGGAGGCAGGACATTTGTTCCAGGCTGAGTGTACCCTTGGCCTCCGGCCTGTGTATCTCAGTGCATCAGTCTGAACATGGATAAGGAACAGAAAGGATGAAACGGGTTGCAGATGGAAGTTCTCATGGATTTGGAGCTGTTATTGTGAGCCTGTCACAGTCAGCCAGACCCCAAGTGCCGGCTGGCCATGCCTCTTGCATTCTTTCCATTCTTGCCCCACTTGTCACCTCTTGCAGGTGCCAACCTGGAGGGCAAAAGACAGATGAAGGTCAGCAATCGGCATCTGGACTTCCTGCCTCCTGGGCTGCTCCTGTCCGCTTACCTGGAGCAACGCAGCTGATGCCAGCCTGCCCGCCCCCCTCCCACCCCCCTTCCCTTCAAGATTCCCTATACCTCCACTAAAATGTTTGTTAATTTTAGAATTTGTCATGCTGTCCCCCTTGGGGTGGCACTCTCACCCTAGCCCCCTCCCATCCCATCCCATCCCAGCTCTTCCAGGTAACTGCTGGCGGCTGGAGCTGCCTTAGACTATACTGGGCCCGGAACTCCCTGCTCTGGTACTTGTATTTGGGTGGAGAGACCTTCATTCAGCTTCCACAGCCCAGGCTGAAGCTCACGCAAGGAGGGAGAGGCTAGGTTTTTATCACTTTTAATGAATTCGGGATGATGTGTTGTAGATTTTTAAATTTTCCTTTTGGGAAGAAAAACCAAATACGCCAACTGATAAATTGGGGGCTTTGTTCTAGTCCCTGCTTGACTTCCCTCCCAGTTTTTGGCTAGAATTGGGGGGTCTCTGGGGTGCTGCCCCTCACTCCAGGAGCATTACGTGTTGTGTGTGCGTGTGCGTGTTATTATGCATGCTGGTGTCCTGCTACCCAGGACAGCAGCTGTGTCTTAAAGGCTGGTTTTACCTCTTTGGAATGTGTGTTTCCTCCCCGGGTGCTTTTTGGTGGCTCTTGGGGCCCTGCCTGCTCTACAACCCCTCCCCCCATCTTTTCTCCTCTCTTCATACTGGGAGTCTGGGACTTCCAGCCAGAAGCCTCCACCCTCCCACTGCCAACTTCCCCTCTCCATGTTCTCTCACCACCGCCCCCCCCACCCCCCAGCCTGACCCTGGTCTATAGCTTTGGGGTGTCACCCTGACCTGGGCCACAGAAGCAGGGCTGGGGACACCCCTCCACACACTGCCATATGTGTGGCTAGTTGCGCTTTGGGAAAAGTGAAGAATTCAATAAATTTCTGGTGCTCTGGTCTCCAGATGTGGGATTTTCTTTTGGGGCCGGGCGGGAGGCACAATAGGTGCTCAGGATGTGCTTGGGTCCTGATCACTGAGGGCCGTGGGTCTGGGGGAAGAGCTGAGTTGCTCCTGGAGGGCGAGGCAGGTGGTGGGGAGGCTGCTGGGAGCATCTGGGCGTTGGCTCTGCCATCCTGGCCCTTCCTGGATGTCCAGGCTCTGCCACTTCCCAGTTGTATGACCTCCAAAAAGTCGCGAGAGTGAGGTTCCTGGGGTAGACGGCATGAAACACCACACCCCGCAATGAAATAACCCGCATGGAGGCTGAAAACAACAGGGGCTTGTTGTCTCCCAGTTCTGAAGGCCAGCAGTCCCAACTCAAAAGTGTCCAAGACCTTGCTTCCTCTGGAGGCTCCAGGGAGGGGCCTTCCTACCTGTCCCAACTCCCAGTGGCTCTGGTGTCCCTTAGTTCCACCTCCCTGAAGGCGGAGACTCTACATTAATTATGGGGATTTCTGCCCAGGAGGTTTGTCTCTTCTCCCCCATGTATGGATTTATTCAATTTTATAGCAATGTGGAGGCATGGGTATTTACTTCTACTTTGGATTAGAATGCAGTATTACTTAACTTTGTTATAGAAATGATTCCAAGTTTGGCTCCCGTGTCTGTCTCTCTCTCTTTTTTTATTGATTTCAGAGAGGAAGGGAGAGGGAGAGAGAAACATCAGTGATGAGAGAGAATCATTGATCGGCTGCCTCCTGCACGCCTCCTCACTGGGGATCGAGCCCGCAACCTGGAAATTGAGCCCGAAACCCAGGCATGTGCCCTGACTGGGAATTGAACCATGACCTTCTGGTTTCATAGGTTGACACTCAACCACTGAGCCACACTGGTGGGGCTCCTGTCTCTCTCTTTTTCCCACATTGACCCCCTGCAACCTTCCCCCCTCCCCTACCTCCCGCCTCAGGCCTTCACTACCCTATTGTCTGTGTCCATGGGTTATGCATATAAATTCTTTGGTTAATTACTTCCCACCCACTCCTGTGGGGTTTTTATTTCTTGAGCATGATTCTGACTTTCTGCCATTACGTGATGCTCAGGCTGGGCTGGTGTGTTTCCCCAAGGAGTCCAGTTCCTTTTATCGGGGCACCGTGTTAGAAACCAGTGGACGCTGGGTGCACTGTATTCCATTTTAACATGCATTTAAATAGTTTTAGACACTAAATAACAAATCCAAACGGCCAGTACAGAGGACGGATAAAAGGAGATATTTGAGTAACAAGCTCGGAGGCTCCCATCTGCAAAGGGGACCCATCCCCAGGTTCCCAGAGGACAGGATTGGGTCTCAGGGAGTGGGGCTGTGTGGGGTTCTTCTTGCCCCTCTTCCCCAGCTCGGTTCCGAAGCTGCCTGGCCTCCAAGCCTTTGTCCAGGCCTTGCCTTCCGCCTGGTGCACCCTTCTTTGCAATCCCAGGAGGTAAGACGTCCCACACTGGCGCGGGCCTAGCAGGAATAGAAGCAGCTTGTTGGAGGAGGAAGTGGGGATGGGGTTTGAACTCAGAAGGGTCCTCAACTGGATAAGTCACCTCACTTCCGCCACCGATGAACAATACAAAAGTAAAGCAGCCCTGGCCGGTTTGGCTTAGTGGATAGAGCATCGGCCTGCAGACTGAAGGGTCCCGGATTCGATTCCGGCCAAGGGCACATGCCTGGGTTGCAGGCTCGATCCCCAGTCGGGGGTGTGCAGGAGGCAGCCGATCAATGAATGATTCTCATCATTGATGTTTCTATCTCTCTCTCCCTGTTCCTTCCTCTCTGAAATCAATAAAGAAATATATTAAAAAAAAAAAAAAAAATAAAGAAAACACAGAATGGAACTAACCAGCTTTGGAAGGAGTTAGAGATGGGGCCTGAGGTTGGGAGGGCCCTCGATTGCGTAAGGCACTTTCTTATCCAGCCTCAGTTTCCCCACCCACGAATATTAGAAAAGCAAAATACTGAACGCTTCACGAGTCTGTGTGGCATTCTTGTGCAAGGGCCATGCTAATCTTTTCGGTATCGTCCCAATTTTAGTGCAGTACTGCCGAAGCCAGCATTAGCTAGGGCCGAACCTAGGGCCATTTACAGGGCATATAAATACTTCCCACTGAGGGCAACCCATCTGGATACGATATTAGTGCAGCACATAACGGGATCTCTCACTGGAGTTGAAACAGTGTTCGTTATCCTAACAAAGCTCAGGTAGCTGCTGGGAGTCTATTGAGCCTCCCAGACAAACAAGCCCGGAAGTGGGCGGAGCCAGCGCCGCCGCCGTCCCAGAAGCCTCTGGGGCGGCCGCGCGCTGCGCAGGCGACTCGTTGGTCCCAGGGAAGATGCTGGCA